AGTACTAGTAGCGCGGCTTCATTCTGACGTTCGGAAAGGCAGACGTTATTAATATATAAAATATAATTTCTTGGAGAACTGATATGAAGAGAGTAACACAATACAGGGGCTGCGTGAGTGCTGGATCATATATACCAGTGAATGCTCTTCAGTTGAATCAGCTCTTTCAGCACTAGGCACGCTGGTAGTATTTCAGTAGGTGATACGACGATATTAATGAACAAACAACTTAAATAGAAAAAAAAGAGCAAGTTTATTGACATGATAATTAGTAAAGCTCCTGCAACAACGAGACGAATTATGGAGCCACTCGATTCGAGTGCTCCATGCATAGGCTGCACTTGACTTCACGATGGTGCAGTCGCTGAAGTACCGTGTTGATGCATAGCCGTTTTGGAATCAGAAGATCGTTGTGCAGCTCCCTATCATTAGGCGCCATCTTGTAGACCATACGTGACTGCAAGCGTTGATTGTTAACGCTTCAGAAAAGGTTTGCATATCACCTCATTTTATGTTCGCTGTTCAAAACGTACAGTCAACATTCTAGTGACAAGGGGATGGCCACAGACGATCCCCTCGGCAGTCATAGCGCTGGTTGTCCCGAATTTTATTACTAGATAAGGGCGTTTCTCCACCACAAAAATGGATTCGAGTGCCCTTTAGCTTGGAACAGTGCGCAAATATACTAATGGAGACGTTTGATGGATCTCGTTACTGACGTTTCATTCTGGCTAGCTCTGTTATATGCCAGTTACCCTCCGATCAATCCCAACCAGTCCGCCTCACACGCACCAACACTCAACGCCTGCTGTAAAACTATGCTAGCTCCATGTTCACATCCCTATTTTGTACCCAGCAGACATAGATTCGTGAGCTTATAGAATCTACGATCTTTCTCTTTTTCCAACGATCACTAAAGAGTGGGGAATCATTCGTATTCTTCCTCGTGGGTGAGGAGTGGCGGGTTAATCGCTACCGAGAGGCTTTCGAAATGTCTAGCCTATTTCTCTACCTCTACAGCGATCGGGAAACCGACGTTTTGCCGTTGCTCTTCGACCACTTCGGGTCTTGGCACGTTTCAAAACCCACCGTTTCCAACGATCACTAAAGAGTGGTTAATCATTCGTATTCTTCCTCGTGGGTGAGGAGTGGCGGTACCCCACAGCATGATCCGACGCTGCTTGCTCACTGAGGAAGTCGAGGTCGAACAGCGAAACTGGACTGCTGCATTTGACGATCTTAGCACATGAGTTTCGATAACCCTGAGGATCCATCGGCTGTCAGTACGGGATATTCCTCAAATGCGCTTGATAGCCATCTTCCCATAACCTTGATAGCTAGACGATCCGCTCCAGCATTTAATAATGCTGTCGCCCCTCCAATACGCACAGAATGAGTCGAATAACCGGTCGGGTCCATGCCGCATGCTGCGACTGCCATTTTGATTGTTGTAGCCAATTCCTTTGCTGAAATTTCAGTTCCGTAGCCTGTCGAGAGTGCCGTTGATCCGGTGTAGTGCCAAAAGCTCTGGCGCCTTTGATTACCCACCGAGCGGCTAACACTGGGCAGATAACCGCGTCACCGGACCTGT